TTCATTCACGCTCTGGAAATGCTTAGGAGGTAGCTTGATATCCGGATACACCGTCAAATTAAAATCAAAAGCATCGCGCGTCGTGTGGGTGCAACATATTGCAAGCGCCCCAGCTGTCGTCACGACGAAGGCAGCGTCACATACGCAGTCGGACAGGGTGTGGCGCCTACAAAGCGAGACACCATCGATGCGACGAGAAAAGCCCAATCTGGTGAGTTCTCGTAGTGCTCCCGTGCCTGTTCTAGCCCTTCATTATACCAGATCGGCAACTTGAACCTGTCACGATAGTTTCCCCTCTGGGCCGGGTAGACGCGCAATGCATGAGAGGCAGGTTCATTTTATAAGCGCGGTGCATGATAATCAGACGATCTTGCCGCAAACTTCAGAGCCTATGAACCGCTTGCGAGGGTGGCCGTATGAAAGATCTTTATTATATGTGGCAAGCAGAAGCTAGCAAAGCTTCTCCGATCTTTATGACAGCACAAAATGCCTCATTACAGATACGGCATGCGACTATCCACCGCTTGAACGATGGATCAGCGAAACCGGTGATAGTAGCGTTCCAAGCAGGTCCCGTCCCAACTTCGTAGCAAGGGGTAGGTGGAATACCGTCTGGCAGCTTCCCAGGAACCCAAGGACGGTGAATCCTTTTGGTAGCATGCCACCGTACACGTCGTCCAAGTCTCATGAGCCGTTCCGATACTGTAAGTCTGCTTGGTTTCTTCTACTGTGGACTGCGTTTTTATAAGTTGCAAGTTTGACCAAGAATGGCTTCTGCCTTCCACGCAGTTCCGGACATACACTCTTCGAAATATGGCAGTGCCACCAGGAGCAGACAGACGTGGGTCATGCTATTTTGTTTTCTCCCTGAGTCTACGACTTTCGTTCGCTAGTAAGTACTTTCGTGAAGCATTGGAAAAGTGGCCAGCAATGCAAACTCTTTTCATAGTATTCTGTTACTGGCCTGATGGTCACTAGTAAGATGTAACTGACAAACTAATCCCATTTGTGCTATATAAGTTAGCATAGGGGATTACGATGCAGCATGAGCTCACATTGTTGGTCTCTCTATGCTTGAAGACAGGATCCAATCCCTCCAAAAGAAAAGGTCAATCGCCTCAAATACAGCCAATCCGTTGTCCGAACTTGCGAATCCCACAGATGACCATGTTCAACACTGCCTAGCCTTTGTTACATGCGACGTGATTAGGGGGACTTCAGATTCAGTCCAGTCTGTTCCACGACAGGGTACCAGGCAACAACAATCTGATGCTTCTGAAGGGGTAGAGCAGAGATTGTCCGACGGTCGACAGCCATATGTCTTATCACTTGATTTCTCATACCAAGCTATGAGATATCTAGTGAAAACTTTGACATAAGTGATCTGTCAGATTACTTTACGCTTAGTGACCACCGCACATGGGGGATGCTATACCTCGCCACCCTTCCCGTTTGTGCCAACCAACGAATCCCAGATAAACACATCGGCTCCCCAACAGCCCTCTCCATACAACACGAAAGTACCTTGGGGAGGCACTGTCGCTGCCGGAGGTGCATACATGCACTACATAATCGGGCTACCATGGGCGTACGGGCCCAGCACTGAAAGCGGTCCTTTGCGCTACAGGGTTCCTGCTGTCCAACAAGATGTTGCTCATGCTAAAATGGTCAATGGAGGGTCAAAGATGACCATTGACAGCTGTATAGAAGGGTCTCGGCTCGACTACGCACTAATATAAAAGCGAGACCGTTAGGACTAACATGGTAGTTAGTATTTGAGTAGTTTCGCAAGATGATTTCCAAAGTGTAGGAGAGCCTCAAGCAGTAAATATCGCCTCAACCCACTCGTCGCCGTTCTCGGTATAATGACGGTCCACGGGGACCGAGAGAACACCAGGACGACATACCTATATAGGAGAGGCAACTTGGTTTACTGCCTAGGCTCCACCCCGCCTTGATCGCATCGGCTCGATTTATCATGCTGGCGCGAAGCTGTATTATCCATCCCAAAGGCGGGCATGGAACCGTCAATGGATCGTCTTCTTCTACCCATGCAGAAAAACAGCTTGACACCTCTCGTTCCCTGCCCCGGACCCAGCTTACAGCACGCACCGGTCGCGACAGCAGGTCATACATGGCCGTCGTCAACGGAAAACCGGTCTCATAGGTGGGGAGGGCCAGAGAGCCTCAAAAATTAGTTTTCTTGAACAGTGAACCGCTTGAGGCACTGAACCTGTGCGGCCAAGAGCACCTTTCGGGTGTCTACTTAAACCCCCCTCCTAGGTCTACCAAAGTCCAAAAGGTTTTCTGGTCAAGCGGTTAGAGTGTTAAATTATGTCGTTTTAGTTCAATTCACCCATGGCCCAAACAAAGCATTCGATCCAATTTTGCCACTTATAGCCACTTATAGCCACCACTACACATCAATCAACTAAAGTGGCCTAGGATGTCAGGATCCAGACACATATTTTAATACCAGTATTAACTAATAAAAACAAGCCTACAGAAACTTGGAAAAAGATAAATTCAAAAAAAATTCTCCCTGTAACAACCCCTCGAAAAGAAATCCCCTCAGGCTTGCTTGTACACAGCGGTATCTTCCATCCCTAGGGATGTCAACGCGCGTTCTCTTCACTGGGGAAGCTTAATGCCTTGACGATTTTGAGAGAAAATGTCACTTAGATAGGGTCATCTCTGTCATCTCTGTGGTCAGGGAGAAGGAATGAAGCAATGAAGGAAGTCATCTGGCTCCTTGTCGACGTTCAAGAGATCGTGGGTGATTCCACCCCTCAGAACGAAGAGGCCGAGGTTGGATCTTCCCCTCGGGAGGCGGTTCCAGTCAGGTGCCAGCTCTTCCAGAAAACGGTGATGAAAAATTGGTTTCGAGGGCGGCGGCCATCAAGGGGTTGTTGCGTGGGACTCGCACCAGAGTTCTAAGTTTTCAATGTTTGATTGAACGTCAAAAGAACAACTTTTCATCTGTGCAGCATATTGGACGCTAATGAATCGGAACAGGGCCCTCAAAAGAACTCTCTGAGCGAGCGTCGGCTGGCATCTTGGCAGGATCGCGTGCGGCCTCATGATCGACAAAGCTGTATCCCGTCACCAAGTGGCATAGGTCGTTGGCAATGGCGGTCATGTCGGGGACGTCGCTCAGGGCGGATGCGACCATCTCGTATGTGGTGGTTTGTGGGAGTTGTGGTTATGTTGCTTGCCCCTCAGCTAGGGGAACAAAAGCAAAAGAAAAACATACAACACCAGGTATTCGCTGATCGTCACCGACTCAACTACTAATCCGGCCCTCACTGGCTTATCTATGGGAGAGCGGACGGGATCCCGAGTTTTCCAATGGGTATGGTCGTATGTGACGATTTGTGGGTGTTGTGGAGATTATGTCGCCCCTCAGCTAAGGGAACAAAAACGAAAAAAACATACAACACCAGGTATTCGCTGATCGTCACCGACTCAACTACTAATCCGGCCCTCACTGGCTTATCTATGGGAGAGCGGACGGGATCCCGAGTTCTCCAGTGGGTATGGTCGTATGTGCTAGAGTCTCGCGTTTGACCTGCTTATATTAGTTTGGTCGGTGACGATGAGATGCTCACCAAGATTTTCTGATACGTATATATATACATGTCCTCACTTTGCCCTAGAGGCCGTATTGGAGCACAAAGACAGAAAGCGGGAGATACAACGACAAGACTAGAGCTTAACACGCCCGGGGCGGTAACTTCCTCGACGTCGACCTGGCTTCCTTTACCGAGGCTGATGACAATCAGCAAGGCGAATTTGCTTTACAAATACGTCGCCGGCCCCGTAATCAGGAACTTCAACGTGTTTACACTCTACAGACTGAAAACTTATTCACTAGGGCTGGGGCAGGTATTAGGAAACACATGACTATCACTTGGGTGGCAGGCGAGAGACATATAAGAGGAGGATTCATCGTCAAATAGTTTAGATGTTGTTTCCTAGGCGACTACGGTTATGTAGTATATACCTAGGGTGCTCCTGGAAGGGTGAGTGGTGAACATGTGTATGTTTCTGGTTTGTATCAGAGATCAACACAGTATAGCACCAATATATCCCAGGATAGCTACATCCCGAGCAGGTTGTGCAATGAGACGCTATTTTCTGCCATTTCCCATGTGGAAAACCCAGCTACCAGAGTTGACAATCAGGCCGCTAATCACAACTCGGAAAGTGCCCCGTCTTGAGCTTCTCCTCAACACAGAGTGAACACCATGGCTTGGGATATCCGGAAGCGCTCGCTTTGAGCACCCTCGCTGTTCTCTTCGACTGTCGATGCACTCTTGGCACATTGCCCAGCTTAGAAGTCGCAGCAGCTGCCGCCCGCGTCCTGAACAATGTACAAGAACGAGTAAGACTAGCTCGGAGTGTGAGCTAGAAAGATACACCAAAGCTCATATGTACCGATCTATGCATAAAAAAAGGAGAAGAAAAACAAGAGAAAGAAAAAGCCGCCCATCGTACTCATGATCTTGTGGGTTCTGCCGGAAGAAGGGAATATAAAGGAAAGGCCCACTAAGACAAGAAAAGACAACTCCCAAATCGCCCGCTGCAATGAGAACAAACTAGCTGGCTTGGCAAAAAAGCCGGAGCTACCACCCGCTGACCATTTTGTCCTGCAAACCGCCAAAAGGCTCCCCTTCGAAATCGATGCAGTGCCTTCGTTATGATGATGATGCCTCCCAGCCCGCCTGCTGGACCCCTTTGATGCAATGCCCTAGATGCACCCGTATGCAAAGCACGTACAATGTGGGAAAGGCAGTGTCCTATGCCGGGAATAAAATCAACTGGGGGAGAAAGGGAAAAAGAAAAAGAAAAAAAAAAGGTAGCCAACTCTACTTGACCGTCACCTTGGTCGATGTTGCGGTGATCCGTCCGTCTTCGTCGTCTCGTTTCGTTGCGTTTCGTTTCGTTTCATTCGTCTCCTCGATCCCGGCACGTATTGGCCAGGCTTTTCGTATGTCAAGTTACCGCTCCGATGCATCGAGTGGTTTCCGTCCGTATACGGTCCTGTGAAAGAGATAGGTATGAAAGTCTCTCTCTTTCACGTGTCCCCTCACGCCCAAGAGAAACATCTCAATCTGTATTTCCGTCCAGCCGAGGGCCCTGAAGGGTCGTGTCGCTAGGCCCTTGAGGCCCTCCAGGATCGTTTCTCTCATGTAGATGCCGCACTCTCGTAGCTCAGGCCTCGCCGGCCAGTCGCCAATGGGACACTTCCGCCTGTCCTCTTGCACGTTTTTGAACCCTGCAGCTTGCATTTCACTGACTGCTGCGCGGATACCATGCATTTCTGAACCAAGGACCCTGAGCCCTGCTTCCAGGTACTGCGTAAAGACCCGGAATCCATACCCATCTCCTTCCGGACAGGACTGGTCGTCGCAAAGAGGGAAGAACTCGAGCTCCTGAATCTCGAACCATCCGCCGGGTTTCAAGTGTCTACGAATCTGTTAGCCTCTTGCTCAGATCCGACCCAAGAAGCCACGGTATGAGGCAGCCAAGGAGATGCGAAGGACGTGCGTACTCATATGCCCTTTGCATGAGCTCTGGGCGATTGCGAACCGAATGTAAAGTGTGTCGAAGGTGAATGAAGTCGAAATGGTCCCTGTCCAGATCCCATCCATTTTCGTGTTCAATGTCGTCGACCATGAAGTGACAGTTGGGAGGAACTTCGTGAGGTTGGATAGGCGATAGATCAATGCCGAGAAAGGTAGAATTGGGATTCAAGTCGGCCACTGCAGAGATAGGAAAATGATTATGTGAGTCGACCGCCATATGGAGATTCCTGGTTGGAACATGACTCACATTCAATGGGCCAATGGCCGGGGCCGGTACCTGCAACGGCAGTATTAGCCACCCGTGAGTTATAAACAAGGACGAAGAGGGATGCTCGGCATGTAGGCCGATGACGATGCAAGCACCGTATGCCCCGTGGAGTGGCATGAGTGTGAACCATGATGCAGCTTACAGCATCTGCTACACAACGCGATCATGTCACGGAATAATAAGGCACGATGCCCGCAATATGACGGCACTACATCTCCGCTCAACAATGAACTCTTACCTAGGTCAAGGATTTCGGCACCTCTCGTCAGTGCATCTTGAACGGGCGAAAAAAAGTACCTTCCACACAGCTCGACGCTGATGATGTGCTTCATCTCGTCTCGATCCTGTTCGGTTGCATCGTTCGGGAAGGCGTAGCGTCCCGAGCGATACGCATGGTAACGCAGGCGGTTCTCGTACGTGTGCTCTCTCACGCTGTCAGTCAGGCTCTCCGTGTCATCGTCGTCGTAGTGAGAGCCGACGGTGATGGCGGTATTGGTGGAGCTGGGTGGTGACATGACAGCCGGACCTGAGCCTGCCGGCGAAGGGGGGCTGCCGATTGCGCCCCGATGTCCGGGCCGTTCTTTGGTCGAATGTGTGCGATCCGTGGCAGGGTCTACCACTGCGTCTCTGAGGTGTTTTGCGTGGAGTGAACTCGGCGGCGAATTCATTGTGGACTAGGAGTATTGGAGCGAACCGTGACCGAGGGGATGCATGTGAGATCCAGTCCAGTGCCCCGGATCCTCCCAGTGCACTCAAGGTGTCGACAGTCGGCGTCGAGAAAGAACCCTGGCAGAGACTTCCAACTTGGTATAACGATGGCTTCGATAGCAAATCGACAAGGGCGAAGTGAAATTACAGTCTGACACCTCAGCGGCAAAGGAACCCCAGGAATTGAGTATTCCAAAATGAGCGAGGCACAACCTGAGACACAAAGAATTGCTGGTAATGACGTCCCTGATTGGCAGGCGGGTCTCCTGCGTCCAACCGTCAGATCAGAAAAGTTCCGAAGAGGTGCTAGAAGCGGACGAGCCGCTTGTGGATTAAGAGAAAGGCTCTGGATGGCGAGACTGTTGGCCGAAAACGTCGATCTGGGGGGGGGGGGGGGGGGGGGGGGGTGAAGTGAAGAAGGGGAGCGAGAACGTAGGACGAAGGGGGAGGGAACCTCCCACAACACAAACAGCACGCTTGTGTCGGAGAACAAGAAGAGAAGAGAACAGGACAACAAAATACAAGAAGAGACCCGAGACAATGGGAGAGGGAGAGGGTTATTTGGTCTAACTGTGTGGGTATGTGTATGAGATGAGTGTGTGCCCGCGCTGTGTTCGGGATGGGCGAAGTCGCGGGCGCGAGCGGCGAAGAAGAGGCCGGAAGCTGATCAGAGTTTGATTCGACTGCTTCTTGGGACTCGGGCATCGTCTTGCCCCAGGCTGCCCGAGTATTGCGGAAGAAAGGATATGGTGGTTTGAGTCTTTGGGTGGCTCCATGGCCGTTTCTTGGCCACGAAGGGGGCAAAAGCATAGCAGAGGGTATCGATGACAAGCGAAACACGCAAGGGGTCCCGTGGGAGTGGTACAGATACGTACGATCCAGCCACAAAAAAGGTACGTACCGGTAAAGCAAAGCAGAGCAAAGCAAAGCAGACCAGACCAGGCCACGAGGCGGAGTGTACCTAGTGTAGTGTGGTGCAGTGTGGTGTGGTGTGGTGTGGTGTGGTGTGGTGTGGTGTAGCGTAGTGTAGTGTAGTGAATGGCGGCGGCAGCTGTGGCAGCAGACTGAGAAACAAGTATGATGGATGAATGACCCTTTCCGAGTCAGACGGAAAGAAACAAGGTGAAAGCTGCGAGGCAGTCTCTGTAAACTGCGGTCGGGTCGAGCAAGCTCCGACTATTAACTAGCATCCATCTAGAATGGCAGTGTTCTGGCGGCCGGTACGATACGGCAGTGCTGCTTCTTCGTTGTCGGTGTTCTTCTTGCTCGGTGTCTCTCCTTTTGGGGCTGCACTCCTCACTCCTCCTTGATGGCGGGGCGATCGGTTCGTTCGCTAAATGATGTCCTGGCTTTTGCTCCCCTGGTAGCGATCGGTAAGCTGGCTGACTGGCTGACCGGCTGGCTTGGGATCACGACCGAGGGTGTTGGACGGTGTTGGTTGATGAACGTCTGTCTACAAGACCGAGAAGAGACAACCCGGTCAGTGGCGCAGGCGCAAACTTTGGAGATGTCGGGAAGGTGATAAGTCCTGGTTTCTCGGTGCGACGACGATGCCCGGCGGCCTTTGAGGGGGGAGACAATAACACGAGACGAATGTGAACAAAGGTACGGACGGTTATGTATGTGACTGATGTCAGTCATTATTTAGTTTAGGTAGACGGGGGGGCAAGGAAAGGTCAGGTAGGGAGGTACGTACGTAAAGACATGGATGGATAGACAGACAGACAGACAGACAGACAGACGACTAAGGTATGAACGACTGGGTAAGGTCCCCAGGTCCATATCCAGGTCTGCCCTGTGTCTCCTGCACAGGGTTCGCTGTGGCCCTCTCTGGGTCGAGAGAACTCGCTCACCAAGGCAAGGCAAGGCAAGGCAGCAGGGAAGGAAATGTAATTAGTGTGTGTGTGTGTGTGAGTGTACATGACAGTCAGTGGGAATGTACCTTGCTTCGCATGGGTACAAGGACACACACGACCATGCAGCACGGCGCTTCCCAATGCGCTCAGGCTTAATGGACATGCATCTATACCTCCTCACCAAGTGCATGCCCTGCTATCAATCCAGCACCAGAGTGTGTTTGTTTGCGGGGAATAACAATCATGATACGATTGACGGAAATGCTATCATGTGTGTGGTACACACACACACACACACTCTCTCTCTCTCTCTCTCTCTCTCTCTCTCACACACACACACACACACACACACACACACACACACACACACACACACACTTTGAATGTGTGCGCGCGTAGGTATGTGACCAAGTAGTCACAAGCTTCAGGACGACTTGGTTGCCCTAACCAAGCTGGACTCCCTAATAAATGCTCGCTCGTTCGCTCGCCCGCTCACTCAGGGTACTGCGGCCGTCAGTGGGGTGGCTGCGCACATCAATGTTCAGCGTAAGAGCATCGGTCGGCGTCGGAGGGGGAGGGGAGGGGGGAGGGGGAATCCTTCAGAAACAAGCTGTCGGGTCAGACCTTTACGACATGGGGACCCGGGAATGAGGAACGAAGGCGTTATGAAAGGTCCGTGATTGGGTCCAGCCAGGGGTCGGTGAGGGGGAGAAGAAGCACGTCTGTTTTGCGCCGAGAGTGGCACATACAAGTACAGTCGTTGTAAGCATACTAGGTAGCGTACATTCATTACCTTGCCTTGCCTTGCCGGTCTGTCTGTCTGTCTACCTGGGGGATACATTACAGGCAGAGAGCCGTGAGTCCTGACCTAATGGAGACGGCAAGTCGTCCATACATTAGGCAGTGTCATGTCGGGGAAAGGCCTGGTGCCCCAATGGAAGAAACCCGCCTGGAAGGGAGGTGTTCGACCGAGGGGGCCAAAGGCATGAGATGGGATGGGATGCGGTACATAGTGTCGCAGCTCGAGCGGAAGTGGAGATTTCAAGCAACGTAAAGAGATTTTCAGATAGCTGCTACCGAACAGGTGCCCCCCCCCCCCCCCCCAGTATCCTTACACTAACTACTACGTACACTACGAAAAGCCGGACATGGGGGTGTACTTCGTTGCTATGTAGCTTAGCTTCCGGGTCCTAGAGATCAAAGGAGAACGAGGATTCTAGGCATCTGGGGGTGGAGAGCGCGAGGGGTGGGGGAGAAAAAGGAAAAGAAAAAAGAAAGAAAAGAAAAAAAAGAGGGAAAGCAGAGAGTTGGAGAGAGCTATGTGCTGGCAGACGTGGCTTGCCTTAGGGCTACGACCATATGTCGGCAGCGTTGCGATGGCCGGGCGAGTCAGGAGGTGTCAAAGCCATGTATATGTATGTATGAGACAAGCGACTCCTTCCCCCATCATTGTAACTACCTACATCAACTAGTTTACCTAGACGTAGGCGCGGACTCTGCATGCTTTGGTGTCATGTATGCGCGTTGAGAGGTGGGCTTAGCTTGACACAACGGTCCGGAGGACGAGGTAGCAAAGTGGAGGAGGCGACGACAACAACAACAACAACGGCGCGACGACGACGGAGAAGAGCTTGAATAGCACATGACGAACCCGCTTGCCAACGGGAATCCAGATGATCAGGAGCGGAAGCTTGACTCTCGGAGTTAGTTGGGACTGATGGAGACGAGACCCCGTCGGCGAGGCGGGCGAAACACCGTCGGAATGAACTCCTTGAGTCCTTGAACCCAGACACGCGCAGCAGAAAACCCACAGAACTTCCCCCTTTCCAGCAAGAGGACGCGACCCAGCGGGTCGGGAGCATGAGTTCATCCATGGTCTTGTACGGACTGATTCTATCGTGTAGACTGCTTACTTACTCTCCCTTTACGACCTGTACACATCTACCCCCTCCCACCCGGTCACACAGTTTACCATTAGCAGTGTACCATGTACCACCACCCGGCACCTATGAAAACGAGAGCATGTGGCCTGGCCCGGCTTTACTTCGTAGTGTCAGTAAACCTGTCCGTCCTGCTCTTTGTGGGGGGAAATCATGCAGTGTGTGCATCTGGTCCCCCCTCCTCTTCCAATTTTTTTCTTGCTTGGTTAGGACCGAGTAAGTAAGTACCCGTGGGTGCTGAGGTACATCCTCCCCCTCTCCCCGTTTCTCTTAGCCCTCTCTACTCCGTACCTCGTCTCTGATTTGGCTACCTACTTCGTCCAGGGGTCTGTTATCGCACTCCTCTCCACTTGTTGCCGTGTACAAGCTCATTTCAAAGCCCGGGGCTTGCAGGGGTCCCAAGACGGATCGAAGATTTTCGCAGGGGCAGCCGTTCGCTGTCAGCATCCTGTTCACTCGGTGCGGGTGAAGAGTATACTACCTACTCAGTCGGTAGCGTAGGTGGCTTATATCGTTGACTCCTCGATACCAGCAGCGAGCGACAGCCAAACCCAGGACACCTGGGAAATGTGGAATGCATCTTGGGGATTGGAACAGGAAGAACATGGCCAAAGTTCCGTCAAATCTGACCGCCGACACTGTTTGCTGCGTGTCCTCTGTCTCGGGACCATCAACTCGGCACGGCCTGCGGGCCTGCAGCCCTTCGGTTCCTGATATCCAGCCAGTCCAGCAGGTCGGGTCGTTCATGCGATACGGGCTGCGGGGCCAAATAAAAGAAACAAATAAAAAAAATGTTTAATTTTCTTTTGCAAAAAAAAGAATTGCGTTGAGATTGCGACATGTCCCGAAAGAGAGGTATGCTCATCACCTATCTATCGTCCACCGATGGTACTCTGCCAAACATGCACAGCCCGAGATCTGAGGCGGCCTCGGAACATGGAGACCCCTTCCTCTCCATCGTCCTCCTCCTCCTTCTCGCAGGAGAACATTGCCGACTGAGACTCTGGTGGCAATATCTGCCCCCAGCGGCCGCCGCTCTTTTCTGCCCGGGCATCCCTTCGTTGCGACGAGTGCCACATGCCTTGTGCAATCTCGAGGACAAGGACACGGGCCGGCGTCTTGGCCATCGACTCTTCTCTCTTGACATCGAATGGCTGTCAAGGACATGCATCCTTCCCGCCGCCTGGTCAAGTGGGAGCAAACTTCCGCGCCAAACCCCGTCGCCGTTGCCGTCGCCACGAGGCCTCCGTTTCGACTCTTCCAAGGTCGTTTACGCAGGGCACAAGACAACGGCCATTCTCCTGCAGACACTTGCCGACGAGGAAAAGGGGCAGGGTGCCGTAGCATCATTTTTCTTTTTTTCTCTTATTTTTTTTCTTTTTCTTTTTTGGCTCAAGAGAAGTCGTCGCTGACAGGATTATACATTGACGGGAGATCCATGTCCATGTTCCCGGACCTGGGTTCTCCCTCGTTCACTGGCTTGGCTCGTGTCCGAATCCAGAAACAGCCCACATCAGCCGAATCTTTGTCAGATATCACAAAGAGCTTTGGGACTGTGCGCTGTCAGAGGATAAGGGGAGGAGGAGGAGGAGGTGGTGGTGGTGGTGGTGGCCATCAGCTGCCCATCGACTTGGCCGAAGCTACGTCGGTCACTGCTAATATCAACCTTCTCTCTCTCTGTCCACGGATGATGATGAACTAAGCAAGACTCGGCACACCCTGACGAGACTTTTGTAACCACGCCACGTAGGTGCATCCCGTACCTGGCCTCCCTGGCCCCCATCTTGTATGCTACAAAGGTGTGTAGGTCACAGTCAGGACACGCGGGTGCGGTATGAGAGCTTCTGGCGAGCTTGGCATGACAAGCGTCTCCGGGAGAGTGGACCGTCAGATTTCGGGATTTGAACCTGTCCCTCCAGTGGGGGCCGAGATCCAGATTGTCCTTCTTGGCGGTACGAGGGGGTGGGATCCAAGTAGTAGCAGTAGTAGTAGTAGTAGTAGTAGTAGTAGTAGTAGTAGTAGTAGTAGTAGTAGTAGTAGTAGTAGTAGTAGTAGTAGTGGTAGTGGGCGAAGAGGGGCAGACGGGCGGCCGAAGTTCAGGGGAAGGGAAAATCTACCAAGTACATACGGATACACCACGGATACTTTTCTACATGGGCCGGCCCTCTGCAGACATGATGCAAGGGTGGCCGACAGGGAATCCACTCGGCCGCCTTTCCCCCTTCGCCCTTCGCCCTTCGCTCAAAGGTCCAGACGGGAAAGCAAAGGGCATGACACGGATGGAAACGCTGCAGCAGCTATGTAACATGGCCCTATACACTACTGGACGGGACTCAGAAGATGGGCACCAACCACCAGACAAGGGGCCCAGCCATGCAGTGGAAGTGGATGCTCCCAAAGGAATGGCACGCTGGGCGGCCGGGATTCGGGAGGGAAGGGCTTCTTGGGGAGGAGGAGGGGGGGGGCGGGCGCGCTTCCATGGGTCGGTCTCTCGATCCAATGACGGGCTGGGAAAACATTTTCATTACGAGTGAGTGAGAGAGCGAGCGAGAGAGAGAGAGAGAGTACCTACGGATATGTGAGTGAGAGAGGTATTACACATCGGCAAGTTCACCCTGTCGCCCGTGGCGGAGGACGGCGCCCGTCCGTCCCTCCCTCCCTCCTCGATGCTCTTCTCCTGATATGCATGGAAGATGGCAACCGTTTACGCTCCTCGTTTGTCAGCCGGTAGCCGGCAGTTGCAATGGGCTAGCCTTTCACGTCCTTCGCTTCACTTCCCGCCGTGAGCTAGCCAGCCACGCTACTGGATGATTTGGGTGTGCATACCATAAGGAGGACCTGGCCCGTCAACAACCACAGCCGGGACGAAGCACGGAGAGTCAGAGGCGCGCCATCAGGCCAGGCCCCGACGTATCACACGGACGGCGGGGACCCTTCTCATGTCTCAAGGTTCCTAGGACCTTTTCCATTGCATTATCCCAACCTACCCAGCACGATGCGACCTCTCGGGACCCCATGACCATCACTTAAACCCCGTAAACCCCGTTGCTGACCGCTGTCGCCCCGTTGACGTCGCCCTGGCGAGGGAAGACGTCTTCTCATCCCTTCCTCTCGTCCCCTTCGGCCTCGACCCATGGCCGGTTCGACGTCGACGGTACATGCGTTCCCGGTTGACCGCCGCCGGCCGTCGCGTGTGTGCCAAAGGTCCCCCCCCCGCGCCATTACCCAATTTCCCAGTCCGCGTTATCCATCCGACCACTTTCACCTGAACCGCCCGGCGTGGTTAGTTTAGTTGGCACCGGGAATAACACCTCTGCAGATCCCTTAAGCCCTACCGTATCTGGTTCACATCGTAGCGGACGTGCCATCAATCAATCCATCCATCCATCCATCCATCCATTTCCACTCACTTACCCATCCTGAATGGGACGAGACAGAGCCGAAAGCGAACCCCGCCGCCCCATCGATCCTTTAGCGTCGTCAAACGCGGTAGTTGGCTGTAGTGTAGAGGCGTGGGACGACTAGGACAAACGCCGTCTCCCATGGTCCCAGCCTGGGGCGAAACAAAAGGCCCAAGCTAGTACGGAGATAACCCCCCCCCCCCCCCCCCCCCCCCCCCTTCCCAGGCTTGAAAGCTTCGATGACCAGAGAGGCGTTTCCTGCAGTCGATGCCGTGATCGACACCGCCTATGATCCAATCCATGCTTGTCCATGCTTGCCAGGACCCAACGGGCTGAGGCGGCATGACCTCGTGCGACGGCTAGACGCACTCGGACGCATTTCCATGCGCAACCATGCACACGCAACTCTTCATCTTCTCACAAAACTGTAGACCGTATACGGATACACTGCGTAGTATGTACACAGTCGGGCGTCATTGCGGATGCCAAACGCGTGTCGACAACAATGACCTACCCACCACCCCCAGCCCAACCCAAGTACGCATGCCCAGATAGATAGGCATGACTAGAACGGTATAGGTGCATACACGACCATCACCAGCCGCCTTGCAAAGCCCTCTGCACGTTTTCCTCCTCCTCCTCTTCCTCCTCCCCCTACTGCTACTGCTCCTGGGGCACGAAGCGGCCCAACTATGCCACCGCAGCACCTGCGACGCTCACCGCATCCGGCATACATGCGTTCTCAACCCAAGGGCTATTGGTGGGCCCAATACCGTGTGCCTGCAGTGCGTGCGGGTCGACGTCCCCTCTGTCGGGTTTCTCCCTGAATCATTTGGGTTTCGCAGCCTGTCCCGGGTCTCCAGAGCTGTGGATCGCAAACCGCAGCGTAGGGTTGGGGGTCCCAAGCCAGCCGGCCGGCAATGGATGATGTGTTGTTTGGTTTGCCCAACCATCCCCATGCCCCCCTCCCCACCTTCGTCCTCTTCGTCGTCGTCGTACGACGGTCTGTCGAGTGACCAGAGACCACCGCCCCGCCCTCCTTGATGGCATATGTCGTCCCCCCCCCCCCCCCTTCTATCAAGTCGGGATGGAGGACGGGACGGGGGGAGGTCTCGTAGGTATCTTGGGAGTGCCTCGTACGCGGAATGAGCCGATGGTTGCTTCCAGCTTGGCCATCAAATCTCCGGTTCCCATTTCCGTGAAAATCCTACACCGGTGCCTGTCTGCCGAAACCAGGCACGTAAGAGGGTACGCTACCCGTCAGGCTACGCGATATTACTGCAAGCATGAATACGGATACTGCTGGGGTTGATGATTGTCCCATGCCCTCCCTCTCTGTGCGTTCCGTCCGTCGAGAGCGACTCCGGAAACACACCCACGTTTCGGTCCCTCCCGCCCCTTCTCTTCTTTGTTCCGCTTCGCAACCCGATGCTCCTTGTATCTTTGTGCTGTGATTCGATTCCAGCCGGGTGGTCGCTCTGCCGCTGCAACTGCAAGCTATCCGATGCGGTGCTTCCCGCGCCAGCGCATTGGCAAGATCCGTTCCCGCCTGTGCCTCTCGCTTACACGGCTCCGAGAAAACGGCCGGCCATGGGTTGATTTATCATCATCATCCATCTCATTGGTGTTTGTCAGGCGGGGCTGTTTCGAGGCTTTTGTTGCTCCACGCAGGGTGTGCGCTGTGCAGGATGGACATCATCACACGGCGCCGCATCATGTATCTATCTGCTTGACCCGGGAATACGGCTTGTGTTCTTTTGGACAAACGTACACATGGAGAGGATGCGGCCCGGCTGGATGTGACTCAAGACCAATCCAAAACCCCGCCCGTATCGCTTCCCCTCTCTACTTGTCCGCAACGAGCGTCTCGCAGTGTCATCCAACATGTACATCGCGAGCTTTTCTCCCCCCCCCCCCTCCCCCCCCTCACCCAGAGGTCGTACTGATCAAGGGGCAGACGAGCAGCCAGCAGCAATACTAACTTGGTAAATGACTGCCGTGGCCGCCAGGGTTGCGCCACTTCGTCACCCCTTTCCTGCCTCGCATGTCTCTCATTCTCACACCGCCAGAATGGCCATCAATCCGACCGGATGGTTAAGCTAAGCGACCAGGGCAGGACGCGAGCAAAGTCTATTCTTGCCCCTCCCCGATGGATAAGCCAACCCGACCCAACCAAGCCCGCCGCTGGCGCGCGCGCAGCAGGCGGCCGCACGCAAGGTGCAGTCAGTTGAGTTAACCTCGTTTTGGAACCCCAGGACCAGCAGCATCTCGATCAGCGGGTCCTGATGTCGAGTGGTTCACCGTCCCCGTAAATCTCCGTCTCAGCCGTGTGGAGGTGACTGCGAAGGCCCCGGGAAACCAGCTGCTTAGCTGCTGCTTATCCTCCTCGGTCCCATCGAGCATGGCGGCCAGCGCCCTCGCGCACATCCAGCAGAGCACCATGCCATGGCCTTGGAAACTGGCAGATACCCAGAGCCCTTCTTCGCCCGGCACCTGGCCTACGAAAGGGAACCCGTCCGGACTGAAGCCCATGATGCCGGTCCACTCCGCGCGCACCCGCCCAGCCGGGTCGTCCTCGCCCCAGTTGTCGCCAAAGTAGCGCGGCGTCGTCTCGTATAGGTATGTGCTGATGATGGGGTTCAGCTGCGAATCGTCCGTCGTCCCGTATTCCCCCAGCCCCTCATTCGGCGCGCGGACGAGGCCGCCGCCGATGACGATATCGCCAGCGAACTGCGTCCCCTGCGGTTTGGGGATCATGTACTCGTAGCCACCTTCGTAGATGAAGCTGTAAGTTGCCGCTAGGCCTTCTTTCGGCATCTTGGATCCCGGCCGGTGCGCCGTAATCTGTCCGCGCATCGGCACGATGGACTCCTGGAACCGTGGGTCGAGGAATGCCGTGTAGCCGTTGGTTGCGAGCACTACCCTCCGCGCTTCGATCCGGCCTCTGGGCGTCTCCACGATCCATCGATGGCCGTTTGCTGCGGTTTCGTCAACTTTCTTGACGCTGGTTGCAGGCGTCTCCGTGAAGAGCTTCAGGCCCTTGTTGACGCACAGCTCTAGCACGCCGGTGGTGAAGCGGTACGCAGAGATGCTGCCTGCCTCATAGGCAACACCGCCATACAGCCCCTCACCCGAAACGTGGAACCGGCTTTGCATCTCCTCTGCTTCGTAGAGTTCGTATCGCGAAGCGTCGTCGTCGGGCATGGCCTGCCTCATCGCGTCGACGGCCCGTTTTGCTGCCTCCCACTGGGCAGCATCGTAGATCACGTCAACGGTCTGACAGGGCCTGCTTTCCGTTGCTTTGTCCTTTAGGTGAGTGGCTGCGAACGTGTGGACGGCGCGGACGTTGGCAAGTTCAAGCCGCGCAATGAGGCAGGCAGTCTCGGTGCCGAGAGTGCTTGCATGGTGGAGGAATGATCGGTACGATGCGGCTTTTGTGTGACCTCCGTTACGGCCTGTCGCGCCCGAGGTCACGGCGCGGGCCTCTAGCATGGTGATGTCGGGAGGGGAGGGCGCTCGTTGAGAAGGGCTGCTGGTAGGAGGCGGGGAGAGTAGGAAATGGGCCATGGCAGCGCCCGTGATACCACTTCCTATTATCAGGGTATCGGTTGTTGAAGGTAGCGATGAACTCGATACATGGTCTGAGAGAACGGAGGGAGGAGAGTGCCAATAGCTTTCCGTAGGGTTAGCCACAGGGAGCGTGACGGGAATACCGGCTCTTTCGTCCATGGTGATTGTAAATTCAAGATTGTTGTAGGTTCAAGATGGAAATATCTTGTGAGATTGCTCGACAGAGGTATGTTCAATCCTGAGATTGTTTGTACTCAACCGGATGACGTCGGGGACACAAGAGGAGCTCAACCGTGATGCTCGAATATGCTGTGCAATATCGTCAGATGCGCCGGTAGGCTGTCTCATCCGTCAGGTTAAATCAAGATGCTTTTCTCCCGTTGTGTTCCGTTCCACGACATTCACACAATACACTGTTGCATCCTCCGTCCATCCATGAGAAAGAACCCCGCGCTCAAGAGCGGGATAATGGCATGTCTACGCGGGCGATATGGTGCGGGGTCCGATGGTCCGTCTGATGGCGCGGATACACATGCCCGTTTGGGCACCGGCGGTCCACCGGTAGTCCACCGGCGATAACCGCGTTTTCAACGGCTGTGTGGTTTCGCACTAAACTTCAACTGTTATTGTTGTCTGTGTTTTCTGATGTTCATGAGTTCCATGGAACAGAGGTCATGACTTCGACTTGAACAGGGCATCCCAGGCTTGGTGTTCCATTCCAGGGTCTGGGAGACAAGCGTCCGCATCAAAAATTGCATACATATCAAGCTGGGCAGGATGAGAAAGAACAATGATGTGGAAGTTTTCTAGAATAAAACCACAAAGGAAGGCGCCTAGCCATGGATTCGAGCACCTTTCCTATTCGATTTACGTATCACGTTTGCGGTGGTGTGGCCCATATCACGACCGAAGCATAATAGTTACTTCCTCCTCATTTTCAAAGTTTCAGCAATTCTCTAAGCCGAAGCTACAGATGGCGTCCACGCCTGCGTTCCAAGTTATCGTCGTTTGTATCTACCATCCATGTAGGGCGGAAACGCTTTCTCTAGTCAGTAAGTGTTTGATTCTGTTCGTGACGTCGACACGATAACCGTGCCCCTCGGTGAACCGGACGAAAGCTCTCCGTTTCTCATCATCTACAGAGCCACGGTGCGGCGACAATCTTCAGATATTGTTAATGTTTCTCCGATAAGGTGACCTTTTTGGCTCGCCAAAAGCAAAGTTCGTGCAAGCGAAGGAACGAGCAAGGTAGAATCCCAGAGGTACCCGTAACTATCTCCGTTTGCTCCTGCTGTCTAACATTCCATTCAGAGCTAGGTATGTATCTCCGTCGTGTCTATTGTCAAGTACAAGATCCCGTCCAACCTATTCGGATTGAACTTCTCCATCCCATCTTTTATTCTTCATCCAAGTACGACCAAAGCCAAGTCCCTTCAGCTTTCTCAACAATCAGCACACACCGGCCAAGGACCGACACCATATTCAGATTCAGACCAGCTTATACCAGACGATTTTCCAATGGATATCGCAGCCATCTTAGCAGAGGAGATGGAATTCTCGCCTTTGGTCGAAGAAGAAGCGTTTGAAAGCTACAACCGTCTGCAAGAAGTAGCGCACGCCCGCCCCATGACCCCCTTTGCCCCCGTTGTCCCCGTTGCCCCCGTTGCCCCCATCCCCGTCTCCCCCGTCTCCCCCGTCGCCCCCGTCGCCCCCGTCGCTCTGGCAGACGGTACCAATCAGCAGCGCCAGAGCTCAAGAGCAGCAGCGGCGTTACCCTCAAGGCGTCGACTGCCCTCTGAGCGGCCTAGTCCCAGGGTCCAAGGCTTTCGTCCCATAAACGAAAGACGTCGGAATCCAGCTCCTGCCGCGGCGGCCCAACAACCACAGCCTCCAGTCCCGCAGAAGCAGCAAGCGGAAAAAGTCATGTGTGTCTGCTCTGTCTGCACGTCAGGCGGAGCTGCAGGAAAGTTGGTGTCAAAAAAGACCAAGCACGAGCACGAGCATGGGGACCAGATCGACCGGGAAGGGACGTCAGTTGACGGCGATGATAAATGCCAGGGGTGTATCAGAAAGGGCAATGTGCGCTGTGTCGGCTGGAAGGATTTCAAGGTATGCGGTAACTGTGTCCGTACCAAAGAGAAGTGCTCGTGGAATGGAGAGTCGGAGAGGAAAAGGGAGGTGATCAAGCGCCGAAGCCGGGCTGAGCTGGCTGCGAGGCTTGCACAACGTCCCAACGGCCTCACCAACGGCCAACGCGATGCGGCGCAGCAGCCCTCGCCCAACCAGGGAGAGCAGGGTTCTGAGAAACAGTGCCCTGATGGCAAGGAGAAGAAGGCTCGGAAACGAGCCCGAGGACGAGTAGCAGCCGGACAGCTGGAAATGCCTCGAGCCCATCCCCCAGTCGCGAGTAACGACGGATCCAATCGCAATCTTGAACTTGCTGAGGTTTCTCATCGGATCTCGAGATGACTTGAGAGGGAAAGTTTGGACAATACTAAGGACGAAACGCAGGACGAAAGATGAGGTGGGAAGAGGAAGGAGTGAACCCTTAACAACACTGCGGTTCGCCAATTGCATGCATACTTCTCTTTGAGTTTCATATTATCATCTCATTGCCTCCCAACCTTGAGGGGCACTGGGCTAGGCGACCATTGAGCAATAACAATCAATCATCATCGGCTGATCTCCATGTTTTGTGTTGACCCTACTGCTTTCCCTGTGTTGATACAACCGACAAAAGGAATCGGGCATGGCCACTTTAGTCACTGCTTCTCGTTCTGGGCGTAGATGAAATTCGCACCTGGACAGCCATCATCAGTCAGTCATTGCACCAATAGCATAGAGACGACGGCGAAGTCAACTCAACTCACCAACTGCAACGAGACCGTTCTCCTTCGCCCACTTCTGCACGCCGCGCCCTTCCTCGCCTCCCCAGTGCTTGCGTTCCTCGGGCTTCGACAAATGCAGCTTCTCCTTGGTCCCGTTGGCGGGAACCCACGCGGTGAAGACGTAACGGTGCTTGCCCGTCTTCGGCGGAGGCCCGGGCAGCTTGTACTCAACAACGTCGTTCAAGTGCTCCGGGTCGATGCCTACAAAGATGGTGGGGGAGCTGCTCGTCGCAATCCAGTGGCAGAATTCCGACCAGATGGGGTTGTCACGCGTCGGTGCGTCCGGGTCAGTCAGGGTCAGGACGTAGGTCGTGGCGATGAAGCTTCTCGTCATTGACGAGCCCTTGACGAGGGAAACCGATGGTGCAGACTGGAGATTCGCCGGCTTTAGAGTGTTTCCGAGATCAGCTACATTGGAAGAGGACCACTCGGCCGAGAGACCCAGGATGGGCTGGAACTCCTCCAAGACGGTAGGGATGACCTGGGCGTTGAATAGTCTACGCCGCGCGTTAGTAAGTTGTTTGACAAGACGAGCGTCCATGTGTGTGCATTAGTTTGTGGTCAATTACTCTTCATGAACACGAGTCAAGTCGGCATCGGCCTCCAAGACGATCTGATCGCCGCCGGTGGGCGCAGCAATGGTAGCGGCACATAGGGCGACGGCAGCCAGGAACTTGCCTGCAAGGGAGCCCGCCATTTCCGGTGCCGTTTTGTTTGTTACCAACCAATTACGTAGGTAGGCTCGTGGCGTCCAAAAAGGCACACTTTGCGGAGGAAGAGCAACAGAGATGTGTCGTGGGCAAAGCAGATGCCAAGAGTGCTTTTCTTGCAAGTTGGTTGTAGCCGAGGATGAAGACCATGAATAGGTAGGTACTGGAAGAGAAGAAACAGAGATGGAGCATAGAGCTCGCTGCGGACGGTCTTGGCAGTGAGAGGAGAGAGGAGATGGATGATGGATCGTCCTATGCTACGTGCGTGTCTCGATGGTGATGTCATGCCGCTTTGCTCTGGCGTGCTTTTCCCCCCTGTCGTCTCCGCCACTGTGCAACAGCGCCCGTGCCGTCGTCCTAAATGAGATAGATAGGTCTGACCATAGCAACTCTATTTCAGCCGTCCAAGACCGAGACAGTAAGAGCCCGGTTATATCGTATTAAAGAGTATTATCCTTTTATCTTTACATCAGGTTAGATGCGGGATATGAGAGTTCTCATGGCCGTAGAATACCCGAAACCACGTTCGCCAAACCCGACGCGATAATTAATACTCGAGAGTCGAATCGATGGCCTGGAAACCAACCATGGCATGTCAACTATTCGGGGAAAATCAGCATCAAGAATGCATTTTATACCCATCATGGGTGTGTCGAGAATATTTCTTGACAGCTTATAGGACGCTCACTTTCAACAACGTTAACCAATGCGTACATCATGTTGCGCTTGCTGGACATCTAGAGCACTAGACTTTTGCAACAACCAATAGGCTGAGTGGTCGAAGCCATGAGCTCAGTACTTCAAAAGAAAAATAGAATGTTCGTCTTTCGATTGCTGTAATACAAATAGCTAGACTGATGCATATTTTGAAGCAATGTTGCTTTGGATTCCGTGTGTGGGCTCTGTTCAAGGGAATCTATCATGGGCTCTGTTATTACTCTGCTTTTGTCACGTGGGCATACCACCTGTGGGACTATAGGACTTTACACAGGCATATACTGCTCATTTTCCTCTATATCCCTCTTATCTAGATGGAACATTTTGACCGTATATATTTGACCTCTATCTGCGACAGCTGCTTAAACATCACTCGAATTAGCGCATGTGCATAAGTTCATGCATGAAGTGTGGCGTCACCCTCCGATGGACAGGGAACCTTATGCTTTTATCCGTAATTACCATTCCACTCTCAATGTTGTGCAGCGGATTTCTCCTCAACAACCTCAACACCTCCAGTTCAAGCTAGGGCTACTGGTATCTGAACGTCGGTCATAGTCAGGCCGTCGCCAGCTGTTTGTGACATGTCTATATTGCAGTGGCTCACCGAGTCAACGTCGGGGATACCATCGACGTTACAAGGCTATGCCGATACATGCCCTCCCAAGGCCTGACTTACATGTCCAGTGGTAGTGTACACAAGGATGCCAGTCCAGGCTGCCGTTTGACACCAACTCGAACGTTGCAGGTCGAGCCCCTTATAGCATGATACGCCGAAGAATTCTCAAGGCAGCTCGCGGAGAAAATCTGCCTGCTTGGCCGTTAGTACTATGAGGGGAAGTGACGGCGATCCCATCCTCTCCACGCCTCCATGTAATCTATCATGCCTTGTCCTCTCGGTCCGCCTGGCCAAGTCGATCTTACTGCTCGCGTCTCAATGCGCCATAGGAGGCACACGACATACTTTTCGCCCTCTCTAGTGTAGACATAAAATACCGGTACGCAAAGGCCGCAAAGTCAACTTTCCTTCACCAACGACTGCCCAGGATGGGCTTTCGAAACAAAGCGACCACGGGTCTGCGTGATCTTGCTGGCCACGACTGGGAGAGTTTTTGGGGGGTAGGACTAATTACAGCTTCGTTGGGCGCGGCCAACAGAGCTTCAAGTGGCAACTTTCCGCCCGATCGCAATGTTCTGGTTTGTTTCGAGCGTGACCAATGACGAAGCAGATAGATGGTCCCCGATGAGTTCCCGAGAGTCAAATTCGCTGGAGGCGTCCATGGCTCCTGAAATAAAGTGTCTTATGCAGTAATGTTGTTGTGTGCACTGTGCAGCAAACGATCCGTTGGCAATTTCGACATGATTCATCCTTTGCAGCTGCAAAAGTTCTTTTCTCGCCCCTCCGCACTCGTGAATCCTCACCGACAGACCTCTTCGGACTAACTAAGTAGCGATTGGCTAATTATGAGTAGGTAGTGTAACTGCTCCGGGGTCGGGCGTTGCACACCGAAATCCTTTAAAAAGTCAAAAAGGGGGTTGTCTACCTCCAAGGTTGACCCGTATGACTGACTGACTGGCCAGTAGACTTGGACCTTGGCCACGTGCAGAACCTTGGGAAAGAATTGTGTAGCTTGGGGCCCCTCCATCCACGTTACTCTTCAGAGAAAAGCACGAATATGACACCGTCCTCAAAACAACTGCCATTGGCTCAAGAGCATCAAAGCCAGATCAGAGAGGAAAACACGACTGGGATGCCGAGCATGTCATAAACCAGGCACTCACAAAGCCATAGCTCAATCATAGGCCTGCTGCACATGTTGTTGCAAGTTGCTCTGGGTCTGCCTGCGGCCGTGCGGCAAACCAACCACGCCGATGAGGATCTATCTACGACTCAACCCAATCTCATTGCCCTCTCGGCCGGGGGTTTGTTACTCAGGGATGTACTTTATACTTTAGGCTAGGAATAGGACTGTCACTGCTGCTGCAGAAAACTTGATTGTATGATGTTGTGTATCAGGCGAGAGGGGGTGGGTTTGGAGTTACGTCTCTTCCATCCCATCTCGTCCCATCTTTTGAGAACTCTCTCCCTCCCTTCTTTCGACAACCGTTCGTTGCCCATCCGTCAACTTGCCGTCTTCACAACGTTGTATTGGAGAGACGAAATGCCTTTCGTAGCTTCGTGTTTGTCGATGCTTGTGACGATGTGGGCGTCGCTTAGTCGATGCATTCAGAGAAAGTTCTTTCGTGTCTTTGCAGCCTGTTTCATCATCTTCCTCGGCCTTGCCTTTCACCTTACCCAGCACACCCAGCAGAAACACCACGAGCCGTTCGTGGCCCCCATCACGAAGCCCATCGTCCATGGCAACCCCGTGGATGGCCTGCCGGAGCCCTCCTATGCTCTTGACCCCTTCCCCTACTCACCTCAGCAGCCTTCAACAACAAACGGCACCACCGATGAGCCCCCAAAACCCTGGCTCGCGGCGGTCATCTCCACAGCATCAGATGCCAAGCGCCGGACGCTCATTCGGTCAACATGGATGAGAATCTTCAAGGACGTGCCGTTCGACGGACGCTTTGTGGTGTCCAACCCGGGGCCTCAGTGGACCGAAATGGTGGCCAAGGAGAACCGCACCTTTGGGGACATAATTGTGCTCGATCACGTAGCCGAGGACGATGTTACCGCCAACACCATCAAGACTCTCGAGTTTTTCAAGTGGCTGGTCAACCACGACGTCAAATACGAGTTCGTCTCCAAGATGGACACTGACCTATGGCTCAACGCTCGCGGGTTCTGGGACCGCTTCCTTGTACCGAGACTATTGAAGGATGCCGCTTTGGGGACTCTGAAAAGCACGGTTCGGAAAACCGTTATCGGCGAGCTCTACTACTCTCCCACTTGGGACCTCGTCTTCCCTCATGGAGCTATGTACACTGTCACTTGGGACATGATCAAGCTCCTGGTACGTCTTCAGAGCGAGCAAGGTGTGGTTACCGGGGAGGATATGGCCGTGGCTACTCTCATGCTGCACGGGCGCGAGAGGGCCAACTTTGTCAACTTCAGGGGCACGGAGAAGTTTGATTACGACGACGAGGACGCCCGGCACGACGGTACGGCATGGGCGAGGAGGAAGACGCACCCGGACGCCATTCAGCATGCCCTAGTCGGTGGCGAGGCCATCGCGATTCACCAGCTGAAGGACGAGAACCTGTGGTTGAAGGTCGCCGACTGCTTCGACGAAAAGGGAATCAAGCCGGCACCGCAGACCTCGCAGTCGGAGTCAGAGTCTCAGAAGCCCATGTCGGTGCAATGGCATGACTTCTGGTTCTGGATGGGAGTCTCGGATCGCTACGACGCAAGGTTCAGCAGGATTCCAGATCTTTTGTGGACGAAAGAGGACGGGCACTGGATATGCGATGGGATATGGGACCTAGGGGAGAACAAAACGGGATTTACAGCGGAATAAAGCGTCGTGATTTCCTGATTGTCCAAGCTTACACTTTACGCTTATGATATCCAACACATACAATATTTAATAAAGGACTTCGAAAGCATCATTTTGACATGCGGCGGTTTGTCTCAGCCAGCGTCCCGGGGGCCCATCCGAGGCTTAGCAAAACCCCGGCAGGAAAGGGTCTTGAAGCGTTGGCGTCGCGAGCTTTCATATTCAACAGCCCTAGTGCAAGTTTTGTATCAGCCAGCAGGCTCTGCAGCCCGAAATGTGGTTGCCCGTGCCTTCACTCCACTAGAGTTCGTAGACAGCTACTCATTCTTCTGCTTACCTTTCGAATATACTCAATAAATGAACCAGGTCTGGCGATGTAGTTGGTTATCACGTCAGTCTAACAGCTTCCGAGCTCACCCTCAGTTGCCTATAGACACTGAAACCGTCAAGAATTTCAACAAGGGGCTCATCATAGATGCAATCGAAACCTTGGACCTTGTTACGATTCCACAACCTCTACAGTTCATATCAACAGGACTTGGCTATTCAGATTCAACTTGCCGAGTAAGCGGCCTTTCTCACCCAATAGACTTATAGAAGTTTGCCTGTATTCTATTTACTTGGCATGCGTCTGGGAGCATATTGGGATACAACGCTGACTAGCTAATGCCCATGACGCTCGCATAGGGCTGGTGGCTCGTAGGGTTGACCAAGTAGTGTAGCGCACCGAAGTTCGAGACCTGGAACCCCAGAAGCAGCCATGAGAGCCCTTTTCCAGAAATTCGATTCTGTGGTCCCATTGCCTAGCTATGAGAGACTCTTTTGACTGATTCAGCAACTGGGTACTGATCAAGAGATCGGGTGTAAAAATCAGACCACGCCCACCAGGGTATTCCCTGAGGGCCCTGCCTCACCGCAGGGTCAAATGCAAAATGACTCGGTCTTTGTTTCCAAAGTAGAAGGCGCCAAATAATTTCCCACGATGGAATGAACCCTTTTTTCTTCTTCTTCCCCATTGCCTCCGTCGCTTAAAACAAATGCTACCTCGGGACCGAGAACCCCTGTCAGTCGTCGACCCGCTAGTCCCAACTCAACATATGCTCCGAGATGGATGAGTCGTTAGACGCCATGATGCCGAGAGCCGTATTGAGCCTGATGGATCAGATAACGGCTGGAGGAAGCGGAGCAGATCTGATAAGCCAGCTTAGCGTTCCAACCAAAAGCCATCAATGTTAGCGCCGACGCTGAGTTGTTTCGGTACTGTCGTGACAACGCCACCCATGGTACGGAATCGATAAGCGGTTTAATATCCTCCTTGGCTCTTCTGGAGCGTTTTAAAAAGCTCGACTCCGTAGAGGACATCGAACCACCCAACGCCCGACGTGATGCTGGGTACGGAGAGTGAGACAGGGTTCAGCCGTTGGCCGCCACCCAGATCGGCCTGTGGCGAACTGCGAAGGTAGTGGTGCGCTTTGGACAAGGGTCGAGAGACCTTTTGCTAGCTTGCTTCCCGTTCTCGCCAAGGTCATGGTCGTTGCGGACACCTGGGAGGCTTGGGAGGTGGGAACTGACCTCGGCTGACCAGCACAGCACGTTTTGTGCCAAGGTCAACCAAGGGCCAGGATGAAGCGAGGCGGGGCGAATACGAGGATGTAAAGAGACTTGTTGAGATGCTGGAATTGCGGATCTGATAACTTTAATCTTGTCAACAGGGCCTAGAATCGACACCAAGGATACCGGACCATCGGAACCCGTGTCATTTGTCATTGTGGAATCAGCTGGCCACTATTACCATTGTCCATGGACCATGGGCAAGTGCTGCGGAATCGGGCAAACTCTAAAGCTTCGGCTGCCGCTATGTATTCAGCAGCAGGACTCCGTAATACTGGTCAACTCCGGATGTGTTCTGGCCACCGAGGGGCACGTCCTTCAGCCGGACTGCCGACCCATGTCTATTACTTACCCGGTTGGGACTTTACACTTACCCTTATCGGCATGCATAATAATAAAAGTCGCATCTCAAGATCCCCCTAGGGAGACATCCTCCGTCCGGGGTTGCCTAGAGCAGAAGGAGGCTCCGAAGGAAGACTTGAGGGCATTGAGTAGTCTCGTAACACAGATGGTGCAGTACTGGCGACTGGCGGGTCTCCCAAGCCCTGTGAAGTAATGGAGGCCTATGAGATGACAGATCTGCATATAAGTTGTGGCACTTTCCTCGTTGACAAACGGGACTGTTTGTGACCTACAAAGACGTCGTTGCTTTGTTGTTCTGACCGCACTTTCAAATCTTGCCTATCGGTGCTTGCCTCTCTTTCTTAGACTCTCCAACCAATCCGGTTTCCTTCTCCCTCTTCGGTCTTTCGTCAAGATGGGTTACGCAATCCTGCCCGCGTTGATCCCGGACATCGAAAAGGTCTATGACGCCTACTTTAAAGCGTTCAAGGGTGACGTTATGGGAGAAATCATGGTCAAAATACTGTTCCCAGACGGAGTAGACTCTGAAGAGTTTCGCAAAGCCCACACCGCGGGCACTCTGTCGTGGTGGCACCACACCGACTGCCAATACACATACAAGTGCGTCGACACCGACACAGGGGAGATCGTTGGCATGGCTCTGGGTGATATCTACCTCAAAGAACGGAGTGAAGAAGAGCGTAAAAATCCCGGTGTAGCCTGGCTTGAGGGAGCGGCCAGAGAGCGTGCCGAGGCGGTTCTCAAGCCACTTCACGATGTCAGAGAAAAGCTGTTTGGCCGGCGACGGTACATTTGTAAGTCGCCGCCAAGACATCCCGACGATCATGTTTGGAGCCAAGACTGACTAGCCTGCTTTTTTCTTTTTTTTAAGACGTCCATGTTATTGCCGTCGATCCGAAACATCAAGGCAGAAAGGCTGGTGCCCTCTGGTGTAAGTGGGGGATTGAGCTCAGCAACAGCCTGGGGATCCCCATTTACTTCGAATCGTCACCCTCAACCTACCAGTTGTACGAGAAAATGGGCTACGAGACCCTGGACGAGAAGATTATCCACAAGGCGGAGCTGATTGGCACGGCCGAGGATATTGAGGTGCCTCTCATGGTCAAGATGCCCGCTTGTGCAGGGGGCATGACTTTCAAAGAATGGCGCAGCGTGGGGTACCCTTCCTTCGGGGAGGTCAAAAAAGGCCTAGTCACTCCCGTGGTCAATGTCACGCCGGCCAAGGAAAAGGTCGAGGTCCAGCCTTCGGGAGGTGCAGGTTTTAAGGGTTGGAGGCATTTGTGGCGACGGCTTTTCCTGTGCGGGCAACAATGATTATGTATTATCGGATGATTCCCCCCCGTAAGTGGTTTAATGTTATCGATTCCCTGTCATGACTTTTGTGCCAATAAACCCCCAACAAGATTGCTTAGAATGTCGGTAAATGCAATGTAGCCTTTGTCATTGAGGGTAATGTATGTTCTCTTGGGATCACGCAAGGCCATGACTCGATGCCGAGGTATCTAGGGTCCGTAAGACCGAACAGCCTTCTCTCCTTAAATCCGTCGGCCCAAGCAAATCATGTCTGAATTCGCTGATGCAGAGATGGTGTCGGCCGAAGCTAGCAACAGACCCCCGTCGCCCCGACAGGCATTTCATTTCCGTTTAGTCCGCCTCGGATCTAATCAGATGCGCATCTGATAAGCAGGGTCTCTACCAATTCATATTGCCAACCTGCCTTTTCCCTTTTGCATTACGCCGGGAGATCCGGAAAAAGTGACCATCAACCAGCTGGGGCTTATTTCTTTTCATTCGAATAGGCCTTTGTGCGGTCACTTTCGCTCCCCCTTCCCCCCCCCCCGAGCCCATGAGCTCCCACAGTCGGCCACCATGCTGAAGACGTCGCGGAAAGCGGTCCTTTTTGTTGGGCTCGTGAGACACGCATTTGGGCAATTTGCGGACATCCTGTGCCGATACTACTTTACCAAGAAAATCCCCATTCCCTCAGCAGCGAAAGACGCCGAGCCGGTCAACATTGTCATCGTTGGGGCTTCATTCGCCGGTTACCATGCCGCCCGATTAATAGCCGCTTCACTCCCGGTAGACGGGCCATACCGCCTTATTATTGTCGAACCGAATCGACACTGGCAATTCACATGGACGCTACCTCGCTTTTGTGTCGTGGAGGGACACGAGCACAAAACATTTATCCCATATGGGCCTTACCTGCCGGCAGGCTCCGAGTCCATCGTTCGATGGATCCATGACCGTGTCTCGACTATCACGGATCGAACGGTAACCATCCAAAGCACCGGCGAAGAGATTCCGTACTCTTACATGATCATTGCAACGGGATCCGGCATTGGCATGACGTTGCCATCACGAGTAGGCTCAACGGACAAGGCGGAAGGGATCCGGTTACTGCAGAGCTTCCAGCAGCGTATCAAGACCGCCAGAAATCTGGTTGTTGTCGGCGGAGGCGCTGCGGGTGTTGAGCTTGCCACAGATGCCAAAGATCGGTATCCCGAGAAAAACGTGACGTTGGTTCATTCCAGAGACGCAGTCATGAATCGATTCGGCCAAGATCTGCAAGTCAGAGCCCTCGAGGGCTTGAAGCAACTTGGCATCGAGGTCTACCTGGGAGAACGGACAACTACTGAGTCTCCTGTGGACGGCCTTGTTACCCTTAGTTCTGGCCGCAAGATTGAATGCGACTTTTTGGTGGGTCTCGAGCTCGTGGTAAAAGCTCTCGGCTTTCTCGGCTGCTAACACATAAGCAGGTCAACGCCATTGGCCAGCAACCTTCCTCTCAGCTGATCAGCGAGTTCGTCCCTGAGGCGATCGCCAACTCGGGTCGTATCAAGGTCAAACCTACAATGCAGATTGACGTCGACTCGCTTCCTAATATTTACGTCTGTGGTGATGTTGCTGAGGCGGGTGTCACCAACCCCAACGCCCGAGCTGCCATGAAGCAGGCCACTTACGCTGCAGACAATCTGCTTCTGGCTCTTCAGGGTAAGCAGCCTACGAAACTCTATCACCAACACTGGGCGGATGGTTTTATCAAGTTAACACTTGGCTTGGTGAGTTATCGCATCCTATACTACATGTGATTTTGAAATTCTGGCTGACCCAATTACAGCACAAATCCATCTCGGCCTTTGGAACTGGAGACACCGAATTACTGTTCCGGTCGAAGGACAAGGATGTTACCTTGATGATCGAGAGGGCTTGGACACATATGGGAGCCAAGCCCTATGAAGATATAGAGTAGGAACATGGCTATGCCCAGAACTGAATCTCTGATAAAAGTTTTCAGAAACCCCGTGAGACTGTGTAATCAAATGGCAGAACACAAGGGACTTTTGGTTCCACACCGACACCGTGTAGCTGCAATTATATCGAACACATCATACCACTAAAAAGGCTTTTGGCATTTTCCAGTTAACATCTTAGTCTTCTTTAATTTTATAAGTATGTCGTCCCTTGTCGGTGGACCTCTGTCGATTTGATGACGCGATGTCTCCAACGTTCCCGAGACCCAACTCAACCCCCCTGCCAATATCGGAGCATTATGGTAGTAATATTGTGTGCCCCATCAGACATGCAGACGGACGGGATCGTCCAAGAAACGAAAGTGGGTGCTAAAGGGGGGTTGGGGTTTGAAAGGGAACTTGTTTGAATATCCTTCCCTGTTCTCAAATACATGAGTTGGGCGCCGTCAGGTTCAGCAGGCAACACTTCCAGCTTACGACAGCATCTAATACTACTTGCTGCTCGTATTTTCATCAAATAGTCGTGTGGTAATCTTCGAAGCTCGCCGTGTACTTTTGAAGAATCAGCCAACAAAACACACCGGCGATGGTGCCTCCACATTTGTTCCGGCGGTGCAGGTATGCAATTTATGATTCGATAGTGGTGTCCTCATGACATCAACAGGACTCTAATTGTCCCTGACGAGGACATTATCCGGTACGCTCAACGCGTTGGAGGCTCTGCTAAGAGCGTCTTGATCTGGGCTCGTTTTGAGCTACGCCGGACGACCAAGGGTCATCGCCGGTATGAACGCCTTTTTAGTTGAGACGATCAGATCGTTGCCGTTTCTGATCGTCCCACTTGCGGGAGACACGGCATTGAGTATTTGTCAATTGCGAGGGCTAGTTTCTCGAGCATGTCTCGTTACAGTGATCGGGGATGACAGGCTTGACTGTTGTTTCATTCTAATGTTCATTGGCATCCACGTTGCCAAGTTCCTTCGGCGTTTTGTTTCGACAGATCAATAGGAAAATCGTACCGCTCCGTCTTGGCATTCGAGTTAGGCCATGTGGTATTGTGTCAAAAGCTTCTCACGCCTCTAGGGGAAAGGCGCTATCCGCTAGTCTGACACTGCAAAGCAGGTTCCGGGTCTTGACATGTCGTGGTTCAGCACCTCCGATGTCAGAGCCGCCATCCCTGTCGGCTGTTGTATTAGTTGACTCGTCATTGCATTTAGGCTCTTGGCTTTTTTATAAGAACAAATCAAGCAATGGGATCTGTCTTGCTGACTGTCGTTCTCGGAGTATCTTGTAGGAGTTCCAGTAATAAAATCCTCTTTTTCTCACCACCACACACAAACTCGGGCAGTCACAGGCAGATAGCAATGCCTTGAGCCGGCGATACGCCTGTCGCCTACTTGTACACTAGGATCTTGTTCCTAAAGCCCACCTGGCCCAACACGGGAAGCTTGTTTGGAGTCATCTTGTACAACCCATTGGAGCGACCGAGCCCGCGTAAACAGATTCGACGGCGTCAAGGGCAGCAATGACCTCAGCGTATTATACACATGGGATTAAACCCAAAGGTTCGGCTTCGCGAAACCAAATCTGGTCTACCCGCATTCAGAAGCCCTTCCGCCCCGAGGCCCCGTCCCCCGGCCCCGCTCGACGCCGGTGTCCCCCGCACTTTATATAAAACCAATACAACAGTACGGATAGTCTCTCGGTCTATCCCGGATAGGGCCCGTGCGGCACCTCTGATCATTCCATTTTTTCCCCTTCTTATTTCATAAGTTCTCCGTGTCAATCTGTTACAAGAAAGGCTTGGACTACGACGCTGCTCCAACAGCGCAACAAGGCACCCTGGCTCCGACGTGGGTCAAACCCAAGGAAGTGCATCCGCCTGGTTTGACTTTGACAAACAAAGTACCCGTAAATATATCCATACTACTAGTAGGTACTCTGACGGTAGGTAGTACAGACCTACGCAAAGAATAAGAGACTGTCAATACCTTACATTTCTGGTCCGGCCTAGATTAGCCATCTCCCGCAACTATGGGCTTCTCTCAATATATATAGAACAGTAGGCGCCCCTCAAAGTCTCCGTAACTACCGACTCTTTTGCCGCAGTTATGGGACCATCCCCGCGCCGGTAGGCAGGATAACCCGCAAAACTTCCTAACCTGGCAGGCTTAAATTTCCGGTCAGACACTCCACTGTGGTTCTCTTGGGAATGTTGGCTTGTCCCAAGCCCCATACGGAGGAGCGTGTCAAAAGTAGTGATCCATAGTGCCAAGGCCCACCATCCCACCTAGACCCACTTTATAATAATCCAACCAATTAGAGCAGTAGGATTATTTCTTCTTCCATAAGGCCCCTACAAGAGTAATTTTACTATAACTATCTATCTATCTATTAACAATAATAATAATAATAATAATAATAACTATCTATTATAACTACTGCTGTTATAGCCTGCGTTAACCTGTTACGCTTTAGTGTAGGAAAATAAGATATAATATTTAATAATCCTTTTTAACTATATTATAGATATTTCCCTACTTAAATAGTAGAGCATGTCTCTATAATTCCCTAGTGTAATAGCCGTAAAGCTGCTGTTACGTTCTCTGTTATTTTATAGAGTATTATTAATCCTTTCTTTATAGATTACATAAGCATTACCTAGAGACTTCCTAGGGAATACACTACCACTTAGTGGTGAAACCCTAGAGAATTCCTAGTAGCTATTGTGGTAATTCTCTAGGAATTCTCTATTATGTTCCTATCTATTATATAATAATTACTTACGTAAAGATTGTTTTTTATCTTAAAATATAAAGTATAATTCTAATATATATAAGTAAAAATAAATAAATTACTAAGTATAATAGTAAATTACTAAATATTATAAAGGAATAAAACGTAAAATTACTAAGTATTATAAAAGAAAGTATATAAACACTAGTTATAACTATATAGCCTAAACATCCTAATTAAGGTAATCCTATAGGTTTTATTTTATTAGATACTAGTAGTGTTTTATTTACTTTTTATACTTCTTACTATTCCTTTATTTATTATAGTTATATTTACTATATAATTACTATAATTATATTCTAAATCTTAATAATTATTTTACCTACTTACCTATAATTATATAGTTATTTATTAATAGGTCTACTATTAGTGTTAATATTATTTAGGACCTTAATAGTAGTTTTAGCTATAGTAAGATTATAATCCTTAAGCTATATTATTTTATAGTTATTAAGTCTAAAGGTTATAGCTATATTAGTCTCTTCTCTATTTAAGAGTGCCTTTTTTCTAGTATTAGTAGTATATTCCTAGCTATAGGTATTAACTAGGTAGAGCTAACTAGATAGTTTACTAGTAATTTTATAGTAAAGCTGCTTTTAGAAGCACTTTTTAAGATTCTTCTATATTTCCTTAGATATAATAAAGATATTTTAGCTATTAATATTCTCTTAAATAGATATAGTTATAATAAGAATATTAGTAATTTATAGGATAAAGAATAGACCCTTAAGCAAAAGTCATAAGTATAAATTATTATTTAAAACGTTTATAGTAAGCTACTTAATAAAAGGTGTAGTAAACATTTTATAAAGAATAGTAAAATAGCTATTTAAGTAGACTTTTATAAAATCTTTACCTTATTACTAAATAAAAGTAGCTAGATAAAATAGTATTTTAATAGTAAGATTATAAGTTATAATATCTATATATTTACTAGTATAATTACTATAAGTAAAAAAAAGTTTTTTAGTAACTAGTTTATTATTTCTAGCTATTAGGTTAAGGTGTAATTAGTAGCGCTTAAGCTTATTATTAACTATAACGTTAGATAGGGATTTATCTTTATTATCTCTATATATTATTACCTTAATATATTCCTTAGCGCTTATAGTCTTTTCCTAAGGATTAATAGTTAATTTATTAGTAAGTTAATAAAGTAACTTTAGTATGTTAGGAGCGTAATTAATAAATATATTAATATAATTAATAGTATCTACTTTAGTAAAATAACTATTATTTATTTACTTAATAGTTATATAAATACTATAAATACTATTAAGAGTATTAGTAATTTCCTAATTTTTATTAGTAGCAGACTAGGCGCGTTTACTAGCACTTTTATTAATATTAATAGCTTTTATTTTAGTAGAACTAGGCAGATAAAGAGGTTTAGCTAATAACATAGCGCTAGAAGTCTAGGGGTTTAGCAAGATAGTGTTACTTTACTTAAGCTTAGTAAGGCGCTTTTTAGCTTTCTTTAGCTTACACTCTAAAGTGTTCTAGTTAGGCTTCTTAGTAAAGTAACTATTAGGAGTATAAGTAGATATAATATTAGTATCTAAGTTAAGTTTACTTTTAATATCTAAGGAGGTAGTACTACTAGTAGTGTCTTATTTAACCTTTAGCGTCTAAATTATAGTTAAGGTAGTCTAATAATAATAAATAAGATAAGTGTTTTCTTTTTTATAAAAGTCTAGTTAAGGGTTTTACTAGTAAATTATATATACTTTATCCTTACTATTAGTATAAAAAAACTAAAAAACGTTAGTAAAAATAACGTTATTAAAGAATAATCCTTTAGGCGTTTTAATACTAGCTTATTTAGCTTTAATACAGTGCTTCTCCTAGTAAGTGTTAAAGCGTTTCTAGTATTATATAACCTTAATACTAAGTAATTTAGTCTTCTTAATTAGGCGCGCTTTACCTCTATAGATAGTAATAGTATAGAGATATCTATAAAAAGAAATACTAATTCTACCCTTAGTGCTAGTAAATTTATTTAAGAAGTATTTTTAGTATTTAACGTTAGTAGATAGAGTTTTATTAGAAATATTAAGAATAATATAAAATTATATAATAAAGTAATAGTAAATAAGGTAAAAAAAATAGTAAATAACTAGCTAGTTTATACTATTATATATAAAACAGCTAGTTAGGTAGAAGTAAAGATATAAATAAGTTATTAAGAAAGTAAGGGGAAATT